TGTAGTGCATTGCTATTAAAGAAACTACCACAAAAGATCAAAGATCCAGGGAGTTTCACAATTCCTTGCACAATAGGTAGTGTCCATTTTGATAAGGTTTTATGTGATCTAGATGCTAGTGTAAATCTGATGTTATTTTCAGTTTATAAGAAACTAGGCCTAGGAGAAGTAAAACTGACCACTGGTCATCTTCAATTAGCAGATAGATCTATAAAATATCCTAGGGGGTAGTAAAGGATGTCTTAATAAAAGTAGAGAAATTGATTTTCCCAGTAGACTTCATTGTGCTTGACATGGCGGAAGATCGGGATGTACCTTTAATTTTAGGAAGACCTTTTCTAGCTACGGGTAGGACTTTGATAGATGTCCACCAAGGAAGTTAATCTTAAAAGTAGAGGATGAACAAGTAGAATTTAATCTGTTTGATGCCATGAAGTACCCAAATGAAGGAGATACTTGTTTTGAAATTAGTGTCCTTGATGATATCATTGCCAAAACCATAGAAGAAAATTACCCAAGCTCCCCCTTAGAGAATTGTCTAGTTAACGCTAAGACAAACAAGGATAAATTGGATCGAGAAGAGTTGGGAGCATGTCTAAGCTTCTTAAATGCTCTACCATCAATTGAAGTTCCATACACTAAGAAATTCCATGAAATCAATGCGGCAGAGAGCCATTCCAACTCATCAACAAAGGAGCGCCCAAAACTCGAACTCAAACAACTTGCATCTCGCTTAAGGTATGCATTTTTAGAAAATTCAAAGTTTTATCCTTTTATTATTAATGCTTCTTTGAGTGATGTAGAGGAAGAAAAGCTATTGAGGGTGTTGCAGACCTACAAGTCCTCAATCAAATGGACAATTACAGACATCAAAGGCATAAACCCCTCAATTTGCATGCACAAGATTTTAATGGAAGAAATTTACAAGCTGACAGTGCAACCACAAAGAAGACTCAATCCAACAATGCAAGAAGTAGTTAAGAAAGAAGTTTTAAAGTTGTTGGATGCGAGGATCATTTACCCAATTTCGGGTAGTGTGTGGGGTGAGTCTGATCCAAGTTGTACCAAAGAAAGGAGGAATGACTGTAGTACAAAATGACAATAATGAACTTATTTCGACGAGAATAGTTACGGGGTGGTGAGTATGCATTGATTATCAGAAGCTTAACTCTGTAATGCGCAAAGATCACTTCCTACTACCATTCATAGATCAAATGTTGGAGAGGTTAGCGGGCCATGAATTTTATTGCTTCTTTGACGGATATTCAGGGTACAATCAAATAGCAATTGCGCCAGAAGATCAAGAGAAAACTACATTCACGTGTCCATATGGAACATTTGCCTACTGACGAATGCTGTTCGGATTATGCAATGCTCTAGCTACTTTTCAACATTGCATGATGTCCATCTTCTCGGATATGGTGGAGAAGTCCATTGAAATTTTCATGGACGATTTTTTTGTTTTTGGTAGTTCTTTTGATACTTGTTTATCTAATTTGGTTTTGGTTTTGCAGCGATGTGTGGAAACCAATTTAGTTTTGAATTGTGAGAAGTTTCACTTCATGGTACAACAAGGAATCGTGCTAGGGCATAAAATATCCAGCAACGGAATTGAGGTAGATCAAGCAAAAGTATAAGTCATTGAAAAACTACCACCTCCTAATTCCATAAAAGCCGTTCGAAGTTTCCTTGGAGATTTATCCAAGATTTTTCTAAAATCTCTAAACCTCTTTGTGATTTATTAGCTAAGGATGCATCTTTTAATTTCACTAAAGAGTGTTTAGAAGCATTTGAATGTCTAAAAGCTAAATTGATACATGCTCCTATAATTGTTATGCCCGATTGGGAATTACCTTTTGAATTAATGTGTGATGCTAGTGACTATGCAATAGGTGCTGTATTAGGGCAACGAAAAGGTAGAATATTGCATGTCATTTACTATGCTAGTAGGACATTGACGGGACCACAACTAAATTATGCCATAACGGAGAAAGAGTTTTTAGCAGTTGTTTTTGCAATTGACAAGTTTTGTTCTTATTTGCTAGGTACAAAGGTCATTGTACACACCGACCATTCTGCTTTGAAGCACCTCCTAGCAAAGAAGGACTCCAAGCAAGACTGCTTAGATGGGTATTACTTCTTCAAGAGTTTGACTTGGAAATTCAGGACAAGAAGGGAACCGAGAATCAAGTGGTGGACCATCTATCTTGTTTGGAAAGAAGGGAAGAAGTTCAAAAGAATGAAAGCCAATTAATGAACATTACCCGAATGAACAACTATTTGTAGTGCAAGATTGACCGTGGTTTGCCGACATCACCAATTACTTAGCAAAGAAGGTGTTACCTCCCTAAATGAATACCAAAGGAGGAAGATATTTTTTTTCTAACTTGAAATATTATTTTTGGGAGGATCCATTCTTGTACAAGCAATGTGCTGATCAAATGATAAGGAGATGTGTATCGAAGGAAGAGATAGAAAACATACTTAGACATTGGCATTCTTTGGGGGCCGGAGGGCATTTTGGAGCAACACAGACGGCCGCCAAAGTTCTTCAATCAGGATTTTTCTGGCCCACTCTCTTTAAAGATGCATATAATTATGTTTTAACTTGTGATGCATGTCAAATGGCTGGGAATATTTCTAGGAAAAATGAAATGCCTCTTAGTAACATTTTAGTAGTAGAAATATTCGATGTGTAGGGCATAGATTTCATGGGACCTTTCCCATCTTGTTTTTCTAACCGTTTCATTCTTGTGGTTGTAGATTACGTCTCGAAGAAGGTGGAAGCCATAGCACTACCTACCAACAATGCTCGTGTGGTGGTGAAATTCATAAAGAAGAACATTCTCTCAAGGTTCGGCACACCTAGAGCTATCATAAGTGATGGGGGATCTCACTTTTGTAACTGACAATTTCAGACTTTGTTGAGTAAGTATGGAGTCACACATCGAGTTGCGACACCATATCATCCACAAACAAGTGGGCAAGTGGAGGTGTCTAATAGTGAGTTAAAGAGAATCCTAGAGAAAACAGTAAACTCCTCTCGGAAAGATTGGTCCATGAAGCTTGACGACGCACTATGGGCATATAGAACGACATTCAAAACACCATTAGGAATGTCACCATATAGATTGGTATATGGGAAAGCATGCCACCTCCCAGTTGAGTTAGAGCATAGATCATATTGGGCTATGAAGTTTCTAAACTTTGATCCAAAATTAGCGGGAGCAAAAAGGTTGTTACAACTTAATAAAGTGGAAGAGTTTCGCAACAATGCATATGAGAGTGCTCAGATTTATAAAGAGAAGACTAAGAAATGGCATGATAAGCACATCGTCGAAAAGGAGTTTAGAGTAGGTGAGAAAGTATTATTATTCAACTCTAGACTATGACTTTTTCCGGGAAAGTTACGCTCAAGGTGGTCCAGACCGTTCATTGTGAGCAAAGTGTTCCCACATGGGGCTATTGAAGTTCATCATCCTGAAAAAGGAACGTTCAAGGTAAATGGGCAAAGATTGAAACCCTATATTGAAAATAGAGTGGAAGATGAAAGGGTCTTGATTTCTCTCCATGAACCTAAGGGAAGATGAGGAAACGTCAAGCTACGGACGATAACTAAGCGCTTCTTGGGAGGCAACCCAAGTTCATTTTACTCAATTTCATTAATTATTTTATTTTATTTTATTTTGTTGTATTCTTATGTTTGATCGTTATTCTGTTATGTTGTCATGGTATTCTAACTAAGATGTGTTTGGATTGTTTTGTAGGGAACAAATAAAGAAGGTGAATTGAAAAAAAAAAAAATTATGCCGCGGTATTGGGCATTCTGCCTTTTTAACTAATTGTTGGGCAAACTGAGCTGCAGCACTATACTGCGGCACACCCATGAAAAAAAAAATTTGTTGGATTTTCAGAAAAAAACAAAAAAAAAAAAAAAATACCTAGTAACTCGCGCTTTTCCGTACCTCCTTCTTCCTTCTTTGCACTTTCCTTTACAATTTTTCTTCTCCATTTTCTTCTTATAGTAAATCATCAAGCACTCATCCTTTATTTTCACTTTGACATCTTTCAAACATTATTTTACAGGATTAGAGAAGCAAATTCAGTGCATTATCCCTTGGTGAAAATAGGGTCGCAAAATTGGGGATTTCAATTTCAAGGCAAATTCGTTGGATTCTTGTGTGAGAAAGATTCAGCCCAACACAAGTAAGTTTCTTGTTGTGATGAATTGAGCTTGATAGTGTTTGAATTAATTAAATTGTTTTGTGGGTCTTGGTGAAAATTCGCAAGTTTGAGAAGTGGTTGTGTGGATTTTGTGAAATTTAGATTGTGTGAAGTATTGGGTGCTAAATTAGTGTTCAAATGAGATAATTTCAGTACCATTTGAAGAATTGGGTGATTGTTTGCTTTTGGGATTGTGTAATTTCATATTTTTGAAGAAAAGAAAAGAAAAGAAGAAAAAAGATAAATATATGACTCCAAAATTCGCTCTTAAACGAAAAGGAAGAGATGAGGGAAGCAAGAAAGGGAAGCATGTTCAAGGTACTAATCCTAAATTTGTGAGTGAAAAGGCTAGGGAACGCTTTAAAGAGGCAGCACAAAGGGAAAGAGGTTTTATAAAGGAAAGAGGTATGGATTTTGGAGAAGTTTTGGTTTCTAGTGTTACCAATGTAATTAAGAAATTAGGATGGAGTACTTTTGTTCAAACACCTCAACCAACAGTTGCTTTAGTGGTGATGGAGTTTTATGCAAATGTTCCAGAAAGCGCTCTTGGTAAAACAATGGTTCGAGGTAAAGAAGTCAAATTCAATGTAGCGACAATTAACACCTTTTATGAGTTGCCAATCGTGGAGAAAGATGAGTATGTGACTTATTTGCAAACTGTCAACCATGACAAGGTGATTAAAACATTGACAGAAGGACAAGGGCAATGGATCATAGTGAATGGGCGACATAAGAAATTTGCTGGGGGTAAACTTTTTGCTTTGCTCGCATTTGGCAATATTTTGTGAATACAAGATTGATGCCCACCATACATAATAGCACAGTGGACAAAACAAGGGCAATTTTGATTTATGCAATCCTACATGGCATGAAGATGGATGTCAGGAACATCATCTTCTCTCAAATCCAATTCTCGGCCAGTAATGCTCAAAATAGCTACTCATTCCCTCAACTCATCACTGTATTGTGTCGTCAAGCGAGAGTACCATATACTTTGGATGAAGCGTTAATTCAGCCAGGGATTTGTTTGACTATTAAGTACTTGGATAAACTCTCCATGGGGAAATCAGCAAGAGCATCAAAGAAGAAGAGTGCCTTAACATCGTCTTCAACAACACCACTCAAGGATAAGGACAAGATATTGCATGCTAAGATGGATGCCATTCAAGAGTATCAACATCAACAAACTGCATGGATGACTAAGCAGTTTCAAGTCCTCTTTGATATGCAACGTAAGCACTTTGAGCGAGACCGGCCAGATGTTTCCAAGTTCAAACTGAGTGAGTTTCACTTCTGCCCTTTGATGGAAGTTGAGGAGGATGAAATTGCTAAATCTGATGAGAGCATGGAAGAATAGAAACATTGGAGAATAATTTGATTTCAATTTTGTGTTTGGAGTTTCCTTTTTTTGTGCTAGTTTGTTTTTGATGTTATTTCCATTAAGTGTCTATGTTGGGTGATCTTATTTTCTTTGGATTGTTATGTTGTTTATGTTTATATACTTGGTGGATAATCTAAGATATATTGTGACATGTGTTTTGTAGTCTTTATTTATTTAGTTAATTTTTTTTTTTCTTTTCATTTGCCTATAATTTTTTGTTTCTTTGTGCATAATGAATGTGGCCAAGAGAGGCCCAAAGTTTGTTTTTGCTAAATAGAAATAACATGCACGTTTGGCACGAAGCACAATATTCGTGGGTACATTTCCTAGCTCATTATTGCAAATGAAGGGTAAGTTCCTCTTCTCTTTCATTTTAAACATTGAGGACAATGTTCATGTTAAATGTTGGGGTAGGAAGTTTATCTTTTGAATACAATATGGGTGAACAACATTTTTACAGTTTTTGTATATGTATGAATTTTTTTTAAGTGATTTTAAGATGTGATGTTTTTATTTTTGGAACCAATACACATGTCGATAATAGGACTATGATAGTGAGATACATGTAACTTTGAGAAGACATTAATTGTTGTGTAGCATAAGGATGTTAGTAGGTTTCAATTGCATCTAGTTTACGACTCTCTTGAGGATGGGTTTGATTGGTTGGATAATCCGAATACTTAGAGAAATTTTATGTGTGATTCTTTATGGGCATTTAATTTTGAGATCTGAACAAACTCTAGAACTCATTTGATAACCACTTGAGATGAAACCCTAGAATCTGCATTATTTAGGATATGATTTAGGCAATTTTCTTTGGAGCGATTGAGCCTTTCAAGCCAACCTATATTATTTTTATCCCTAGTCAACTCTTTGAGCCTATTATATACACTTGGTAAGCCTAAATTTTTTGTTTTTTTTTTTCACCTACAATATCGTACCTTGATAATGAAGCCTAAAACACTTTTTGACCCATCTTATTGTGAGAGACTTAATTTGGTGCATGTGACCTTAGAAGAAAAACTAATAAAAAGAAGAAAATAAATGCATCTTTTAGACCATAACTTGAGTATGGGCAATGAGATAGGTTGGGGGTTGTAAAAAAAAAAAAATTAATTAAATTAAATAAAAAAACCAAAAAAAATTGGAAAAAAAAAGGAAGAAGTAGCTAGTGAGAAGAATATGGAATGAGGTTTACATTATATGAGGGTTTGTGCTAGTGTTGGAAAGAATTGTTCAATCAACGTGAAAGAATAGAGGGTGAATGAGAAGGGAAGTAAAGAAGAGATTGTTCATAGTCATTTTTTGTAAAATATTAAGTCTCTTACATTTTGTTACAATTCCTTTCCGTTCTTTTATAAACCATTACCCCAACCTAATGTTACAACCATTATAAAGACCTAATGATCCGAGGTAGTGATTGGATTCTACATTAGTGGATAGTGGTTTGAAAACTAAGCTTATGGAGTTTGATTGCACAATTTTATTGTTTTTTTTTTTTTGAAAAAAACTCTTGTGAGATCAAATTTCTTTGCCTATGAATGTTATGCATAAAATCATCCGAGTTTTTGGATAAATGGTTTGTGGTTGATTTTATGAAAGGGTCTATAACAAAAGTATAATTGATATTTGCTTATTCTTTATATTCACATGACGTTAATTATTCGATTTGTGCATGCAGACACAATTTTTGAGACAATTATATGTACTGATCCTAAAATTTTTGTTTGTGTTTTTTTTTTTTTTTTAGTTTTGAGGCTAAGGTAGGTTCGATTTGGATGTTTGTGGGTATCATCACTAGAAACCCTCACGAGACTACAACTCGTCCAACTAGGGTCATCTAAAGGTTTAAAGGCTTGTTGCATACACTAAATGCAATCGTATCAATCTATGAAAGTGACCTAGGATAGTTTAGATATAGGTTTTCATTGTTTGTTTTATTTTGAAGCTTAAAGATATGTTTTATCGCTTAATTTGCTAGGGACTAGCAAGAAGTTGGTTGGGGATTGTGATAAAAGCTTGAAAATACTTATTTTGTTAGTGATTCAATTGGATTATTTGTGGAAAAATGTGTTTAATTTGTGAAATTTAACTTAATTATTTCATAAATGTCTTTTATGAGATCATGGATATGTTTTGAGTGTTTTTAGGTTCTTAAAGATGATATTCAAATAAAGGTTATATCGACGATGAAATATGGGACGACAAGAATCAAATGGTTCATGATTCGGAGCTGAAACAAAGAAGTTATGACGATTTGAAATTAAAGTGAAAGTCTTGGAAAACGTTCTAGTTTTGAACATGCAACAGTAATTTGATAATAACTTGAGCTATAGATTTTGGATTGAGATGATTCTTGAACTGTTAGAAAGCTGATTCAAAGGGATACAATTCATATTTTTACCACTTGGCAAGATTCGAACGTTATCAAGCTCAAAAACCACTGTCTTGTCAAGATTGCAAGTTCTGGGGCAGAATCAACTATGCGTAGGCACAGTGTCGTGGCACAACAGCTATTTTGGACTTTGTTACATTAAATTTATGACGTGTATTTCCTGTTTTAAGAGTTCTAAAGTGATTGGGATAGTGGGAATCATAACCCTAAAACCCTAGGAGGATAAATAGATGTCTTTAGTTGATTTTTTGGGGAGGAGAATGGAGAGAAGTTCAGCTGCTCTTTGTAGATTGCAAATTCCTGCAATTTTGAGTCACCAATTAGAGAAGTTTTTCTACTCTTTCTTATAACTCATGTTTATGAATACAATGGCTTTTATTACTGAAAGTATGAACTAATTTTATTTTCTAGGGCTAAGATGTAGCCCAATTTTATGAATATGCATTGAATTATTTGTTGCTTATTTTTGTTAAGTTTTGTTTTAAGTTTTATTATTGCGCTTAAAGCTTTCAATTCTTAAGGGCCCCAGAGTTGAATGATTTTATGAGTTAGGTTGAGATCGAGAGATGAAACCTAATTAGTCTAAGGTAATAAAACCATAGATTGAGTGAACGCTAGAGATAGGTTACCACGATCTGTGAGGCTGTGGTAAATTCCATAGAACTTAATGATCTCCCATTGCTTAAATCTGATTAGAGATAATTCGGGTTAGTAATTAGGAGTTAATTTGTTAATTGTTCCAGAGAAAGTTAGCAAAATATTAGGGAATTTGGCCTTTAGAATAAACTTAATTAGGTTAACGATAATTGTCAATGCATAGGATTAAATTGGTGTGAAATTTATGCCCTAGGTTTAGTCATATTGATTTCCTACTAAAGTATTAATAAAAGTCTGTTTTTATTTTGTTTCTAAGTTGTTTTATTTTTCATTGAATTATTATGAAAATCTAATTAATCAAATAGCAATAAGATAGGTTAGTGTGGTACTTGGTATTAGTAATTCTCTTGGGATTCGACATTTGTTACTCGAGCTTTATTACTTGCACGATTTTGTACACTTGCGGATTTCAACAACATCATGAGGCGCCTGCATCAACATTTGATCCACTACCTCTATCGGCAGCCTCGCCCTCAGATTTGATTCCTCTTACTTCTAGCCTAGATCTTCCCATTACTCTCGTAAAGGTAAGCGCTCTTGTATCTATTTTATCTCCTCATTTGTTTTCTATTACTCTTTATCTTCGTCTTCCAAGTCTTTTGTTGCCTCTTTAGGTTCTATGTCTGTTCCTAGCTCTATGTCTGAAGCAATTACTCAAGATGGGTGGCAAAGGGCTATGGAAGAAGAGATGTTGGCTCTTGAACATAATGATACGTGGGTTTTAATGGATTTACCCAAAAATAAAAAGGCTATTGGGTGCACATGGGTTTTCATAGTGAAGGTTAATCTCGATGGGTCTGTGGCTCGATTGAAAGCTCGGTTGGTTGCTAAGGGTTATGCCCAGACGTATGGTATTGATTACTCTGAGACATTCTCCCCAGTGGCTAAAATGACCTCTGTCTGGCTATTCATCTCTCTTGCAGCTTCATATAGTTGGCCTCTTCACCAACTTGACGTAAAAAATGCTTTTTTTACATGGTGTTCTTCTTGAAGAGGTTTACATGGAAAAACCTCCGGGGTTTGTTGCTTAGGGTGAGTCAGAAAAGGTACACAAACTAAGGAAATCTTTATATGGCTTAAAACAATCTCCACGGGCTTGGTTTGGGGGGTTTAGCGTGGTGACTCAATTTGGTTTACATAGGAGTGCTTCTGATCATTCTGTCTTTTATAAGTAATCTAGTTCTAACATCATTGTTTTGGTTGTTTATGTTGATGACATTGTAATTACTGGCAATGATGATGTTGGCATTCACAGTTTGAAAAACTTTTTGGCTTCCAAATTTCACACAAAAGATTTGGGCACTCTAAAGATTCTGGGAGTCGAGGTTTCTCGAAGTAAGAAAGGGATTTTCCTCTCTCAATGCAAGTATGTGTTAGATTTGTTGATCGAAATAGGCCTAATTGAGGCTAAGCCTTGTGACGCTCTTATGGTTCCTAATGTGAGATTGAATGCTAAGGATGGAGAGATGTTTGGTGATCCAGAGAAATACAGACGGATAGTTGGAAAGTTGAACTATTTTATTGTAACCCTTCTAGATATTGCTTTTCCAGTAAGTGTGGTGAGTCAATTTATGTCATCTCCTAGGACATCTCATTGGGATGCAGTCCTCCATATTTTGAAGTATCTAAAAGGAGCCCCTGGACGTGGGATTCTTTACAATGATCATGGTCATAATACGATAGAAGGTTTTCAGATGCAGATTGGGCAAAATCTTCTGTGGATAGACGGTTTGTGACTGGGTTTTGTCTTTTTGTTGGAGGAAATCTTATTTCTTGGAAAAGTAAGAAACAACTAGTTGTAGCTAGATCAAGTGTATAGTCTGAGTATAGAGCTATGGCACAAGTAACTTGTGAGCTTATATGGACAAGACATCTTTTTAAAGAAATTGGGTTTGGTGATCTAGGGACTATGGACTGGTGGTATGACAACCAAGCAGCCATACATACAATAAACAATCCAATCTTTCATGAGCGGACTAAGCATATAGAAGTGGATTGTCACTTTGTGCGAGAGAAACTTGAACAAAAGCTAATTACTACTAATCATATTAGAACAGGGGAACAACTAGCTGGCATCTTTACGAAGTCTCTAGTTGGTAAAAGGATAACCTATATTTGTAACAAGCTAGGCATGATAGATTATTATACTCCAACTTGAGCGGGAGTGTTGAAAACCATGTATATATATAGTTAAAGGTATATATGTAATTGTAGCGTGTGTATATATATGTTAGGTTGTACTGTTGAGAAGATAGAATATAAAAATTGAAAAAAATGCATATATTCAAAGTAACCACTTTTTCCTTCATATTCTTGACTAATTTTAACAATCCTCTATTTGTTTTCTGAGCAATAGCTATGAATAGGATTAGATATTAGATTGAAATTCTAGAGTTTTCATGTTCAAGAGTCTATTTTAACAGTGGTCTTTCACTTTCATTTTGCTTCACTAAGATCTTCTTTTGCTTCACTATGGTACATGATTTTGTGAATTAACAAACATCAATTCAATGTTAGCTAGATAATAGTGGTCACTGCTGTTTTTTATGGCATGAATGTGAACGTCTGAACCTAAGAATGATATCTAAAGAATCAGCCAATGTTGGATGTTTTGGATTAACTCTTTTGTGCTTTGATGATATGTGTTATTCATTTCTTATGTGTATCATTTTTCTGTGGCAGATTTTTTTAGACAATATTCCCATTAGAGAAGTTAAGGGACATAATCAATGGGAGGGGATTTTCATTCTAAGCCAATGTCTTTGTATGAAATAATTTGGGATGGGTCTGATTGAGCTACCAATGGTGGCAAGTATAGAGTGAATAACAAATACGCCCCTTATGTTGCGAAGTTCTCCAACTTCATCCTTCATGGCTACGCAGTTGACCCAATTGAAGAAACATCATCAAGGTGTGATACCACCCAAGACTCAATCCCTGCTAATGTCTCCCCATCGCAAAGAATTAAAATGGCAACCTTAGAGGAAACATATTACATATTCCTATTGCTATGAACAAATTCGATACAAAGTTCCTCTTTCCAAGTGTGTGATTAATCCCCTTGAAGTCGAATGCCTCAAAGTTTATGATCCGGTTACATTTGGAGGTGGTTGTGTTGCCATGGCAAACACCACCACCGAGGTCGTGCTAGTCGGTCCTTAGCTGATGCCATTTGACAAAAGATGGTAGAAAATTTATATTATGATATGGTCATATTATGGTCTGCTTTGAGTTTGATTTAGTTGGGATAAAGTTATTTTTGTGTATAGATAGGGAGATAGAAGGCACAGAAGGGATTTTATTGAGGGTGATAAGAGAGTTCTCTATTATTTCTATGGTTGATGGATGGTGGTGGGTATGTTGTATAGTTCATACCTTTTGATTTTATCATTTGATGTTGTTGGTATTTTTTTTTTTTTAAATTTGAAAGTTATTGAATTCCGTGATCGTATTCTGTACTCTTATGAGCATCATGAGTTGAATAAATATATATAATTAGCATATGGGAGTTAATCTTTATAGATGTGTTAGGTATTGTAGCATTTATTTTGTTATTGTTTCAATATATCATTTAGGGTGCGTTTGGTTTAGGGAATATTATATTACTGAGGAATGTTGTATTACTGGAAAGATAGATTACTAGGGAATCTTTAGAGGAATGTGTTTGGTTGGTTAGAATAAATTGGTGGGTATGTTATAATAATATGTTTGGCTAGGAGGATAAATAAGTGGGTATGTTATATAAATTACTAAATTGCCCTCATTTTTAGATAATAATATAATATTATTTTATTCTATTATTTTTTTAAACGATTTTTTTAACCCCTTATATTTGAAATTTTGCTAAAACACCCCAATCATATAAAACTTTAATTTGTAGCAAAATCACCCCCACCCACCCCAAGCCAGTGTCAACAATCATCGTAATGGCGTACGACCGGTCGGATTTGGTTGGTGGTGCGCCGGTAAGGCTAATCCGGCCATGGATCTTTGTTGCATGGCCAAAAACGGCTACATCTAGCCATAAATATGGCCGTGAATGTGAAACGACCATAGATCTGGCCGTGAAATGGCCATTTCACGACCAAAGATTTGACATTTTCACGGCTAGATCTATGGTGTTTCACAGTCAGATCTATGGCATTTCACGGCCAGATATGGTCGTCTCTGGCCACGATCACAAATCCATGGCCAGAAACGTCCTTACTGGCATGATATGACGACTTTCGCCAGCAGCTAGTGGTGGTGGCTAGCAGTTGATAGTGGTCTTAGGTGGTTGGAGGTATTTTGTTAACTTTTAAACTTTTTTGTGGCTGCGATGTTTTAGCTAAACTCTTAAATGTAGGGGGTCTGGGCAAATGTTATTTGGTAGACATATGAGGGCAAATGTTATTTGGTAGACATATGAGGGCAAATGTGTCCAAAATGATAAAAGCTTAAGGGGAAAATAGGGTCAAAATTAAGATTACATTAGCAATCTTATATTAACACCTCTTAGGAAAATAATATGATTACCCCCATTATTATCAACAGTAAACACTATTTACAGTAAAAGATTACATCATATTTTATTACGTGATAAACAAACGAGAGAATCTTGAAAATTAAACAAATATTACATAGTTAATCTTATATTACCCCGA